AAAATCTCACTCAAATGCAAAGTGATAGAGAATTTAGCCAGCATAACTCTGAGCCAAAAATGTAACGGTTGTCTACATTTACTATCTTCCTCTACACAGGTATTAGCAAAACAAGAATACATGAACAGCTGCTATTCAACTTTTGTACTCTTTTCACTTGTTTAACAGCCACTGAGGGCTCAGTGATACTGTGGTGACAGCAGCCAGTGCTACATTAATTGATAATTCTGGTTCCAATTCTAAAGTTAGTCCTTACCAACAAACACATCTCTTACTCTCTAACATTTGTATTCAGTAACTTCAAGTGTGTGAAACAGGAGGTACCTTAGAAGGCCACAGGTTCAGAGCTGACTTTAACCTGACATATAAATACAAGGTTTCAAAAATGTCAGGAACTGTCCGTCTGTGTAGCAAAGGCATACTTTTTGTTTGCAACAAGTTACACATTTTCCACAAACGAGAGTTTGCAAACCTTAGTCACAAGTGGCGATTGTATCCTTCTTTGTCAAATAGGCCATTCCACTGGATAAATAAAAATATAAGGGCTGGCTGGTTAGCTCAGTTGGTTAGAGCAGTCTTGTAACACCAAGATCATGGATCCCAGTGCCAGCCAACCCCCCAAAATTGCTATGATTTATTTCCCCAAGTTTTTAATATTGTTCTACAAAGCTGTCACCTACTGTAGAAGAAACAAATGTTATTTGTGCTCCCTCCCCATCTCTTTTTCCAAAAATTTCAACCATTAAGAGAATTCTCTTCCTGTTTGGGCTCTAAAAACTTTCTAACTATAGTTTGTTGTATCTAGAAGTAGGTGAAGTTGAAAATTGTTCATAGAATGAATGGGGCATACTCCCAATTATACATTTGCAAGTGGCTTAAAGCTTCATGGGAGAAAGGAGGGACACTTTCAGAAGTCATTAATAAATGTTTGGGTGTTTTTTCTGTATGGATTTTTTTCTCTTCACTTCATTGAAAACGTGAGTATGACACCCCAGACTCTTGAGAACTTTCAGTTAAGGTCATTGATAGAATTTAAAAACAGGCTGGCCAGTTAACTCAGTTGGTTAGAGTACAGTGTTGTTACAACACCAAGGTCAAGGGTTTGGACCCCTACACTAGCCAAGTGCTGCAAAAACAAATAATTGCAGGATAATTTCTGTGGGCCATAGAAACACCTATAGAAGGGAGCAAGCAGCTATGGAGTTTCTTAATTCATGCCAGTGACAGGCAGTCCCAGCCCTGATCAGGTAACGGGCATTTTTTTTCATTTAGAATAATGTAATCTGTATGCAGCTAGGAACTAGAAGAAGACTTTCAAATTCTCCTTAGGATGAGGGTAGTAAGAGTTTTACCACTCTAATAGTTTTTAAGAAAAAGCTTAAAGGCTCTTAGACTGCCTTTTCTGGAGTAGGATGTCAAGGCCCTAATTTAGAGTTCTCTGAGGTCCCTGTAAAATACTTCTGCAGGCTCAGAGGAAGACTTAGAACTGCATGCATCTGAGAGGAGAATTAAGCAATTGTTTTTTTTTTTTTTTTTCCCAAAGATGACCGGTAAGGGGATCTCAACCCTTGGCTTGGTGTTGTCAAGCACCACGCTCAGCCAGTGAGCAAACCGGCCATCCCTATGTACAGTGGCCTTGGTGTTATCAGCACCGCACTCTACAGAGTGAGCCACGGGCTGGCCTAAGCAATTATGTTTAACTGGCACTTATTTTTATTAACCTAACATTCCAGTTTCAGGCAGCGTGGATGTTAATTTCAGAAACCTGATGTGCTAGCAGATGAGGGTGAATATGAAAGTTAATTACCTCCACTGGCAATGATGAAATGTCTAGTGTACATCTGGGGCTAGAGCATGAGAGGCAGGGACAGTGTGAGGTATCTCAACTGTCTGCTCCCATAATAATATTTAATCATAAATAGCTTTTGATCTAAGTCTCAAAAAGGAATCTTCCTGCCTACAATCCATGGAGGTTTTGGTAGCTGGCACACATGGGGTTTGGCAGAACATCATGTCCAGCTGGTAGGCTCACATGGATGGCACTCCAGCTATGGACAGAAATTTCTCTTGCTTGTGATTTCTACCCTAGTGGGTTTCGTTTGCCTGAATTTAGTAACGAACATATATTCCAAGAGAACTGAAATGGGTCCTTTTGTTCCAAGCCTGTTTCTCCAAAAGCGAAAGACTGAACTCTGAACAGAGAAGTTGACAATCTACAAGGGGTAACCACTGAGGAAACTGGAGAAAACAATTAAAAATATGAATATTCTGAAGGTTTTTAACCTCATACAAGTTAAAATCAGGATCATTGTTTACCCCCGTTGGACATGTTAATGTACACCAGCTCCTATTTAGAGAAAACTTCAGGTAGAGCCAGGTTATACAAAAAGGAAAATCACCTGTAATCGTTGTTGAGTAAGTGCAGTTCAGTGGTTCCCACAGTCAGCATAACCAAGTGCCTGCTAGTTCACCTTCAACAAGGATTCTCTTAGGATGTGAAAAATACAAGGAAAGGAAATCCACTATTTTGTAGCTTTTTTTATTCTACATAGTTATAAAAGTAACACTTTTGCCTGGGAAATAGTTTTCACCCAATCACCACATATTTATTTTTTTATTTTATTTTTTTTTGTCTTTTTGTCTTTTTCCGTGTCCGGCAACGTATCGCAACCCTCAGTGTTGCCCCTGTACCGGACCGGGGACCGGCAACGGGATCGCAACCCTCGGCGTTGCTCCCGCGCCTCGCTCAGCCAGTGAGCGGGAACTGGTCCGTATGTGGGATCCGAACCCTCGGGTGGGAGCGCCGCCGCGCTTCCCAAGCGGCGCACCATCCAGTGCGCCACCGGGCCGGCCCTCACCACATATTTAAAAGTATTATGTTGAAGTATAAACTCAAACTAAGGTCTGGTATTATGAGTAATACTGGGGCCCATAATGGAGGAGCAGAGACCTCTTCTGTCTAGAGAACTTACAGGACCTGAAAGGGTGGGTTCTCTGATTTTACCTGGAGCAACAATGAAGGCAGAGGTCAGTAGGCAGGATTTATTCCTGCTTCAGCCACGTTATTCACTGTTAAGGAAACTGTCCATTTTGATGCTTGTTCAGTTACAAAAGAGAAAGCCATGCATACATATCAGTTTGCTCAGGGGAGGACATTTTCCTAGGCAAGCCAGAAAAATGGTGAAAACCATGATTTCATCTACTACACATTTTTTTTTTTTGCATATACTTTTCAGCCAAAACATTTCCTTATGACAAAATGCAACTGGAAATTAGTTGACCAAATGATAAATAGAAATAGAAGCCAGTGGGCATTTTCACAGTGATCAAATTACCTAAATGCTGGTTCTTCCAGACTGATTGTAGGTTTTTTTGTTTTTGTCTTTTGGGAGACAGGCAGGCAGCCTCACTGCTGGCCTGAGAAAGAAGGGTGGTTGCCTTTAGGACGGAACTGTCTGCCCTCCCAGGTGGCTGGAGTAACCTTCCCTATTGCACAATAGGCTGAAGAACTTGTATGTGATCTGTTCTCTAAAAATAGACCCACCCATAGCTCATGGACACAAGGACTCCACTGCGGTGACCTGGTCAAAGCAAAAAACTTTAAATTTGTAGTTAACTGTGGCATTGGAACACATTTCCCATAAGTAACTTTGGGTGGATTCTTGGGTGCTACAGAAAAAATGGCAAGTGGTCCTTCAGGTGTATCAGTAAAGAACTGAAAGAGAAGGGGTAAAACAGTGAAGGTTATAGTACACGAGGAATAATGAATTTAAGATGGTACAACTTCCTAAAAGAATTTAGATACTTTGGTCCTCTCTAGCCATGTCAGCATTTTGCTTGAGATTTAACCTTTTAAGCACCATACACTAATCACCATGTATCTGGTTGGGGTGGAGGCCTTAACAACTCTTCCCTCAGCCCCGGGACTTCATGACAGCAGGAGCTAAGTCTTGAACCTGGGGGCATTCAGTAGCACTCAAATGGGTGGGATCAGTTTTGCAAAACATTCCTTCCTATCTGACAATACACAGCCTTTTGCCCTTAGAGAGACAGGTCCAGAGCCACAAATGTACTAATGTGAATGAGTTTTGATTCAGAAGAGCAATTATATAGTGCCCTGGGGCAGGGAGGGGTGGGAGGGTGGGTGGGAAGAAAGTGCTAATGCTTCTCTGCTCTTGAAGAAACCCCCTGATAAAATTTTAGTTCCACACAATATGTATCAACAGGATTATCAGCTCTAATTCTGGCTATTAATAAGGCTCCACTATGAGAGAAAAATCCCAAAATCAAAAGAGGAGGCTCCCTTCCCAGCCCTGTCTCCAAAATGAAGAGGTGAAGGAAGTTTTTATTCCCGGAGTACAAAATTTTTCAGGCATAGTCTGGTGTTGCTCTACTTGTGACTTCGGTGTACCTGGGACTGTAAGCAACACCTGTGTTCCATCTTCCTGTGGTCTGTAACTCCCAGAGAGCACCTCAGTGACAGCCTGTATCTTAAGAATTGATATGTGAGAATTGAAAACCAAAGGCTTGTTAGCAGTAAGCACATCAGTGGTCCTTCTAGATTCTGGTGACACACACAGAACCCTGTGTGCATCAGGGTTTTTCCCTGGAGAAGGAAGAAACAGGAGAAATTGGGGATGCCAGAAGATAAGCCTACTGTCTACCAAAAGAGAAGGCTAGAATGGAAAATCTTATAAAAACAGATGCCCTGGGATCCCCCTGATGCCTAGCCTTCAGGACAGAAAAGGTGGGAGAGCGGAGAGCCAGCGCTGAAAGCAGAGGCAAGTGCTGCTGAGCAGAGCACGCAGCATGTGTTTAAATGCTGTCCGGGCCTGGAGGGGAGGAGCAGGATCCTCTGGATAGAGTCCGCACAGTGTCACCAGCGCCACTCACCCCAAGGGGAAAGCAGAGGCAAGTGCTGCTGAGCAGAGCACGCAGCATGTGTTTAAATGCTGTCCGGGCCTGGAGGAGCAGGATCCTCTGGATAGAGTCCGCACAGTGTCACCAGCGCCACTCACCCCAAGGGCTGAGTCCGTGGCACTCCGTTGTCCAGTGCTGACCTACCTGCCAACCTTCCCTTTCCTCATTCTCTCAACAGGTAGTCTCACCCCTGGGGCCCTTCTCTCCTCAGTGGCCTGCTGTAGCGTAGCTCACGGCAGAACTGTGGCACCTGAGTGCCCATTAGAGTGACGTTTCATTGGTGTGTGGCCTGGAGTTCTCCTCCTCCAGCAGTGCTATTCTTTGCTTGAGCATTCTCACTTGGGTCTCGTGTCGCTCTACCATGGCCATCATCTGAGACTCCAACTTCTTCAGCTTGTTTTGATGCTTCTTCTTTGCTTTCTCATAGGCAGCCACCAGGTTGCTATGTGGGAATGGAGGGAAATAAGAATGAAGCTTCACCCTAAGTAGCACTAAGACCCACACTGCCCCGTCCAGTGGGTGACCAGGTCTCGTGAGCACTGCTCTGAAGAGAGATCATTCAGCATCATCAGCAAGAATCTGAAATCAAGTGGTTAGAAGAAGTGTAGCACTAGGATTTCAACACTCATGGCCAGTTGTCTACTGGCACCACCTCGATTAATCCAGCCTGTCTGCTGGAAGCTTGTCACTCTATCATGTTAGGAGGGGTTCTAAGAGTCAAACCAACAATCCAAACTGGCCAAGTCCAAAACAGGTAAGTAGAAAAGGAGCTGAGTTCCTGAGTCCTGGTATTTCAGTGCGAACAGTAGGTCTATCTGTTGCTCCATGGCTACTTGAAACAGATGGTCAAGTTTATGTTACAGGAAAGTGTTCCTGCAGCAATACAATCTAAGTGACCTCCCCTAGGATGAGGGCAGAGAGGCTCCTCTTCCTCCCAGTTCCCTTTACGCTTTGGGCTGCTTGTATTCAGAGCACTCAGGCCTAAGCTAATGCTGACAGCCAAATGCAGAAGACGGGCCTCTGTGAACTGTCCCCCAGAGCTTGATGGGGCAAGAGCAAGGAGTGAGCCCAGGTAAGTCCAGATACCCTATCTGGTCCAAAACAGCACCCCAAATCCCTTCCATGTAGTCACTACCCCTACAGCTGCAGTTCTCAAAGTATGGTCTGAGAATGGACCCCTGGGGATTCCTAAAACCTGTTCAAGGGGTCTGTGAGGTCTTGATCTTTTATTTCCAATCACAGAGCTGCATGAAGCCAGGTGTTCTTGATATAATTCCAAATAATATGTTAACTGCAGAAGCAGTTGTGAGAATCCAGCTGTCTTCTATTAAGCCAGATATTAAGGAGATTTGCAAAATTGTAAAAATAGCACCACTCTTCTAATTATTTTCTGGAAAGTACTTTTCTTCAGAAAAATGCCATTTCTATTTTATCTAGTGAATTTGTCGTTTGTAAATGATTAATAACTTTAAAAAGTTTGTCTGTTTTAGTTTCTAATATGAGAAATAATCAATACATGTAATTTATAGAAACAAAAGCTCTTTGAAGTTGTTTTTTTTTTTTAAACAAATATAACAGGATCCTGAGCCCCAAAACGACTTGAAACTGCTGTCTTAGAACAGTGTTTCCAGGCCGGCCCAGTGGCGCACTGGAGAGTGCGCCGCTTGGGAGCGCGGTGGTGCTCCTGCCAAGGGTTCGGATCCCATGTGGGCAGGGTTCGGATCCCATGTGGAGACCGGTTCCCGCTCACTGGCTGAGCGCGGTGCGGACACAACACTGAGGGTTGCGATCCCATTGCCGGTCAGTAAAAAAGACAAAAAGGAAAAAAAAATAGACTCACTCCTGGGCTGGTTAGCGTAGATAATTCGTATAACTTCGTATAATGTATGCTATACGAAGTTGTTCTGCTGGATCTTAAGTGTTGCTCAAGTAAAGCATGCATAGCCAGTTTTGTCTGGAAAACATTGGCTTGAACACAAGTAATAGATTTTGTACTGCAAGCCTTCTCAGAAACTTTACTATGTGAAACATCAAGAAGAGACCACATGCTGCGTTTCCCAAATACCTTTGGTGAAAGGCGCCATCTGCATTTCTTCGGTTTCTATGGAACACCTTGGGAGATGCTGCTCTAAGGATGACCAGGCTCTAAGAGGGGTAGGTGAGGACTTGCCACTGTCTAGAGTTGGTTCCCAGGGGTTAGGGAAATGTGCTCCCTGGTGCTGTGTCTACATTGTGCCTACACATACCGTGGGGGCTGTTCAGGGAGATCTTTACCTGTTGGCCCGCTTTAGGTCATTCACAAACTCTGCTGATTGCTGGTGTCGGATTTCACTGCTCTTGGTGAGTCTTTCCAAGGCACTCACAAGCTCTTGAACTCTGGTCTTCAATTTCTTTTCTCTACATCAAGGAGAGATGAAACATGCCATGAATTCTTTGAGATGATGGTAGAGGTGGCTGCTACCTTGGAAGTGGAGGCAGAAAGGGGGAGGAAGGTTTAGCTTGCCAAATCAAAAGGCAAGGGTACAAAAAGGAAGATACTAAAGGGCTCAAGGGCGAGCTGGAATGAATACCTCCTCCCCACTCCATTCTCAAAAGGCTGATTTGATCCTATTTCTTTAAGATAAGGGCCTTTTAGAGAACTTATGTGTCACAAAGGAACAATCAGGAATTTCTGGTTTTAGTCTTCCAGATAGAGAAACTAAGCCAATCTGAAGTTCCTACTGTCAGCATACCAGATCCTTCCAACCACAAACCTCAGTCTCCACACCTTCTTTTTCCAAGTGTCCTAAGCATCTCCCGAACCACTCAGGGATTCATGAACAGAAACCCCTGTCTGGCCTGGGCTGCCTACCTTCAACAAATCCTTACTCACTGAAACCAATATGATCCTACCTTGCAAAAAACAAAAATGATGGTTGTGGTACAGGAAATATTATTGATCATTCTTTTCATTCTAAAGGTCCTTGTTTCCCATTAAATACTTAAATTATACATGCACTTTCATTTGACTACTCCCACTCCATAGTTGAAGAAGCTTCAAGTTCTTCGAGCCCTTGACAAGTTTAGTAACTCTAATTGACTTAGAGGAGTCAGGGGAAGTTTCTAGTGCCCAGTCAGCTTACTGCCTTCCTCTGATTCCCACAAGAGCACCAGACCCAAGCAGGAAAACATCAATCAGTGCCTCCCTTCCGACGTACCTCTGTCACATGCACAGTGCTACTCTGCCTGGTACCATGCTTAGCACAGTCTGTCATGGTCTGCATTATGCGTTGGGGCTCATCAGGCCCCCTACTAGCACGTAGGCTCTAGGGTGGCAAAGACCTTACTTGGTTTGGTTCCCCAATGTATCCCCAGTGTCCAACACCATGCCTGAGTGCCAGCTTCTAGTGATCGATATAACAGCTTCAGAACACACTTTAGGTATTTGAGTCCTTGGAACATATTGAGACACGAGGATTTAGGGAAGGAATTCCTCTAAAAAGGATTCACTGTTGAGCATGAGGAATGTAAATCAGCATGATTAGTTCATAAAGTACCTGGCAGTATCTAGCAAAATAAAAAATGAACACATCCCTTGTCTAAGCAACTTAAGTTCTACGAATTTACCTCAGAGATAGTACGAGCACAGGTTCCTAAAGATACATCAGTTATGGCTGGGTTCACTTCAGCATCGATTACTGTAATTAAGAACAGGAAACAACCAGGTATATCCATGCTATTGAAATGCTCTGCTTAAAAAAACTTTAAAAACATGCAGATGGATGTGCACTGGCATGGAAGGGTTTCTGATACTTTAAGTGGAAAGGGTGAGTTCTGTGGGATATCATTTTTGTAAAAAACTAAAAATCTGAGTGTGAATATCTGATACACCATAATAGACTAGAAGGCTAAACGCCAAACCCAACAATGGTTAACTCACTGGAGGTTACTCACATACTTTGCAAAAAACACAAAACTAAAAATTTCAAGCAATGCAAAAGTGAGGAAAGTAGAAAATGAAAGCTACTTTCCTCACTTTTGCATTGCTTGAAATTTTTACAGTTTTGTGTTTTTTGCAAAGTATGTGAGTGAGGGTCTTAGTTGTTATGCTCCCTGGAGTTGGGGCATGGGAAGGTGACCTCAGGGTGGAAAATTCCTTTCAGGTGCCCATATGGTCAGACCCTGGTTCTCCCTTCCTGGCCTTTCAAATAACTAATCTTTTATATTTCTGTCTCTAGCTACCATGATAGCAAGGCAGGCTCTCCAAACCTATTAATGAAGAAGGGTACTGCAACATAATAATCCAGGCCCGCTTTGGTGAAAGAGGACGGAAGGAGAAAGATCTTTAAAGGAAGCTGGCAAGCAGCCTGCAGCCCGATGACTCATTCTTCAGAGTCCTCCCACCCGCCTCCACTAGGCAGGAAGGCCTGAGGGCAAGCAAGATCCTTCCAGCAAGTCTCCTGCTTGCTGAGGAAATGTGTTTCTCCTGGGCCCTAGCAGCCACCAGGAAATCTCCTCAGGTCTGGTTGCATTTCCTACTGGAATCAGAGAGTGGCAGCATTTCCTACCAGAAGGGAGGATGGTGTCGTGGGAGGATGGCTCCCTCTGTCCCCAGCAGCCCTGCTCTAGCCAAGGGGAGGTTAGCAGAGCCCCAGGGATGCTCACCCACGCTAAAAAAAATTAGGGAAGGGCTATTCGTCCTATGTTTTGTTACTATTTTGATTCCTTTATCTTTCATTCTAGGTTGATGAATAGTGCAAAGAAAAAAAGAAAACTGTGGAGAGAATTACAAATATAACCATGAACTCAATAAGAAATTCACGACAAAAAATTTTACCCAGAGCAATGCCATCCCCTACCTCTCCCAATCACATCCACACTAGGCAGACAGAATATGGAAATCCAATCCCTACCACAAAGCAAAGGGCTTCCTTTTCCAGCACCCAGGCCCTTATGGGGCTGGAGGGAACTTTCCAGACCTGGCAGGCTCCAGAGAAGGACAGGAGCCCAGGAAGGGAGGAGAGGCTGTCACAGATCCTGCCCAACCTCGGTTCGGGGGGATGGGAGTAGCCATTACAGGGGGCTCAGAACTGCCCTCAAGCACTGCCCAAGCCTCAGGAAGTGGGAGGGGAGTGAACTGCTGGTACAAACTCCAGGAAAGAACTCTGGTGCTGATTTATTTAAAGATAAAAAGAAGAGACCAAACCTCAAACTTAAACCTAAAATTTGGATTACTTTACCTATTTTCATTTGAGTGAGGCAGATGTCTGCAATAAAAGCACTCATCTGGACCTAAACAAACGCTAACTCATGGCAAAGGCAAAGTGACAGCTCCTCTAGACCTGTGTCCAATACAGCAGCCACTAGCCATGGGTGGCTATTTGAGCGCTTGAAATGTGGCTGGTCTGCACTGAGATGTGCTGCAAGTGGAAAATGCACGGTGGAATCTGAAGCCTTATGCACGTGTGGGAGGATACTTCAAAAAGTTCATGGAAAGATTTATATTATCTTCTAATTCCATTTTTGAAGTACTCCCGTATATTTGATTAACAATTTTTAAAATATTGATTACACATTCAGATATTTTGGGTGGAATCTGAAGCCTTATGCACGTGTGGGAGGATACTTCAAAAAGTTCATGGAAAGATTTATATTATCTTCTAATTCCATTTTTCAAGTACTCCCGTATATTTGATTAACAATTTTTAAAATATTGATTACACATTCAGATATTTTGGCTATATGGAGTTAATTTCATGTTTTTACATTTTTTAATGTGGCTACTAGAAAATTTTAAATTACAAATGTGACTTGCATTTGTGGATTGTATTACATTAGGCAGTGTAGCACTGCTCTGGAGAGCAGTTGTTTAGAGTAATATTACCAGGTTATTTTCCTGGATTCTGATTCAGTAAATCTGGGTTGAGTCCCAGGAATTGTAGTTTAAGAAGTGCTCCAGCTGATCCTTATTATCAGGCAAACTTGTGAAACTGGTTTCTCACCTGGGCCTGAGAATGAGCTCCATGTGCTCCTGGAAGTCCCTGAATTTATTTGCAAAATTACATACATGGGCATACTCTCCTAAAGTCTACAGCTTTCCTCAGATTCTCAAAGGATGACTCGGAAAATGCTAAGAACCATAGCCTGCTAATCTAAGTCACTTTAAAACCTCACCCATTCATGTCCTGTTTCTTCTAGTTTCCAACTCAAATTTCCTTGGCCTTCAGTTAAGGAAGAATTTATATGCTTTATGTACCTAAGCTAGTAAAGCCAAAATGAACCCTTTCATAGGCTTCACGCAGATGAGAAGGTTAAAACTAACACTACATGTTCCATTTGCCCCCTGAACAGTAATGCCTCTGGACAATGTTTTCTGGGATGCCCAGAACTGCTAGTCCCTTGCTTGTTCTTTTATTCCTCGTATGGGCACTTATGAATACATGCCTATGTCATCAAGTAAGAACAACGCTGGATTATAATATGACTGCAAAAACCCAAATCAGCCAGTACACACAGGGATTTCAGTTACCTGTCTTCCCACTCAAGTATTTGGGCTCTCACCAAAAATGAGGATTATTTCTGGTCATGACAGGTCCTGTAATCTTACTCTAACCAGTCAGGGAGTTTTTTTTCCTTTTTTCTTTTTCCTTTTTTTGTGCCTGGCTGGTAAGGGGATCTGGACCCTTGACCCTGGTGTTATAACACCATGTTCTAACCAACTGAGAATGCCAGCCATCCCCCCGCCCCCTTTTTTTAATTGAAACAATTTTAAGCAGTGGAATGCGCACAGGGAATCTGACAGGCAGACTCACAGTGGGACTTTCGAGGTAGTAAGAAAAGCCACGGTGGCTTGCCAGTAGGCTGTCAGGAGACGGTGCTGAGCAAGCCTCTGCAGTAGTCCTTGTCAGTGCACCCACACAGCCTGGAAGCATGTCTTGTGAGCAATCAGGAAAGAGGCTGGATTCTCCCTAAAATAAAAGGCCAGCAGCAGTGCTTTGCCATCAGACAAAGTTCAGATGAGGAGCTGTGGGAGTCACGAGGTGAGAGCCCAGCCCTGCCAAGGTGGTGAGTGGCTTTGCAGCCAGCCAGGAAACCTTTCAGAGGAGCTGTAATCAGCCCAGGCCGCAGGGAGGCACAGCCATGCAGCCACAGGCCTGGAATTTCTTAGTAATCACTAATTACATGGGATCAGTCATAGAGAATTGTCTGCATCTGTGGTTCCTTGTTCCTCCCCTTCCACTGACTCTTTAACACCAAGCCGACTCTGCCTCCACCGAATCGGCTCACTAAGGTCACCGTGATCTACGTATTGCTACATCCAGTGGTCACTCTGTCCCTTTCTTACTTACCAGCACTGCCTGCACGGCTGGCCACTCCCTCTCCTGGGGCCATCTCTTTACCTGTGTCGCTGGCTGTCC